GCAGGCCATGGCCAGGGCCCTCAGCACAGACTGGCATCCTTCGGAAATGGCGGGTGTGCCAGACTGTCCTTCGGAAATGGCGCTATCAGTCTGCACACCCGTTCTTCAGTTTTTGAGATTGTGAGTTGGGTGGCCCATGGGGCCCACCCAGCCTTTGTCATCTGACAGGGGAAGATGAGTCCCTGGCACCAACACACTGCTCGGATAAAAGAGTTATCGCGTGCTGTGTGTGGTGCCGTTTGGTTAGCTTGCATACACTTTGTTAATGTTGAAACGCATGTGGAAACATGAACTGTGTTGGCAATGCTTGACCACAATGGCGCATGCCATTTTGGCTCAAGCTTTGCCCTGGGTTCTCTGAACCCAACTTGTGTGAAAAACCCACCCACCCACACCAAGGTCGAAGGTCATGGCGGCCAAACCCCCGGAGGAGGTCCCCGCGGAGTTCAAGGAGGACGTGGCAAAGTTGCACAAGCCACTGGCGGCCATGCTGGTGGGGAAGGAAATCCCCTGGGCCACCCAGGCGGCTCTGGGCGCATCGGGATACGTCACGGTGGAGGACCTGGCGGATCGCTGGGACACCCCGACGGCGGCTAGTAGGGAGAATGGTCCCCGGGACCTGGGATTCCGGGATGGGGAGAACGGGTTCAACGCCCAGACCTCGGCTTTCACGGCGATGCGCCTCCTTCAGGCAGTCCGGGTGGCAGCCAGCTTGGTCCGGGCGGGCAACCAAGGCGATCACCCAGCGGGCCAGGCGGGCCCGACAAAGGCGCCCCTGGAGGTCCTGTGTGACAGGCGCCAGCTGGAGGATGCTTACGTGGCCACTCATGGGACCCCGAAGCCGAGGTTGGAGTTCCAAGGGAGTGATGGCTACCTCAAGAAGCAGTGGCGCATGATTGCCAAGGGTGAGCTGGGCTACATCCCGGCAAAACACATCGTGAGCGCGCTCCCGGAAGAAGGGGAACGCCCCTCATCCACCCACAAGAAGATCACGGTGGACGGCTGGGACAGGGAGGATGAAGAAGAGGTGCGGAGCCACCCCACATCCCGGCGCCAGCTGGAACGGCTGCACCTAACCTTCAGGACGACGCTCCTGATGTGCACGGCAGCACTGCCACAGTTTGGCAACCTGAAGGTCACCAAGGAGGAGCTGGATGATTGGTATGCCTGGTTCTATGGGGAAGACATCGCTGGCAGGAAGCCTCCCCCGAGCGACACCACCTTGCTGTTTGCAGAGCGCAATGCATGGCGCAAGATCCACGAGATGGTGCACCAGGGCACCACTCTCTCCGATGCCCTCAAGAATATCAGGGGCGACTTCCTCTTCTGGCAACGGGAGGCCCATGAGCACCTCAACAGGGCGCCGGAGAAGGGGAAGAGCAAGGGCAAGGCACCCAAGGTGTGGCAGACTCAGTGGGAGAAGCCCAAGAAGGGGGGAAAAGGCTCCTGGCCCTCGGGGCCGACCCGGTCCAAGCCAAAGGGCAAGGGCGGCAAGGGGAAGGTCAGACAAAGGACACACGGAATCCCTAGGGGGGGCACCTTCCCATGGATGCAGAACATCCCGGAAAGACTGAGGCTCAGACTGAGGTGGACGCCTCGGCCAGTTCCGGAGTCGTCAAAGCCGTCCCTCATCCTGCTGTACGCGGGGAAGGATGATGCGGGGGCCCTGGATGCCTACCTCCATGCCTACAACCCGGCCTTCTCGGAGTACATTTGGGCGGTGGATATCAGGCGAAAGGGGGGAGACCTTGGACAGGACATACTCTACGATGTGCTCCATGGCCATGGCGGGCAAGGTCGCCTTGGTGGGGGGCGGCCCCAACTGCAGGACGTGGAGCATCCTCAGATGGTTCCCCAAGCCGGGGGGCCCACCGCCGGTGAGGGGCAGAGCAGAGCAGACCCTGTGGGGCTTGGAGGGCTTGGAGCCCCGGGTTATGGAGGACACGGACAATGACAGCGTGCTCATGCTCCGACAGATGTACCTGACCTCGCTGGCCTACAAGGGGCTAGGTCAGCTAACGGTTCCGCAGGTGGGTTCCTCCTTCTTGGAGCACCCGATGGACCCGATGGAGTGCAGCAAGAGCCCGAGCGCAGCGAGGTGCTCATCGATCTGGGTCACGCGGGCCTACATTCAATGGGCGAGTGCACTCCACCACTCCCTCATCAAGTTTGACGAGTGCCGCCTGGGCCAGGTGGTTGTGAAGTCCACGACATTGTCAACGGACCTTCCACTTCACCACTGGCATGATCTGCGTTGCAACCACGGCGCTCACCCCAGGGGGGAAAAGCTCAACTCCAGTGACCTCAGCCGGTACCCAGAGCAGATGATGCAGGGTCTCGCAGCGGCCATCCTTTGCCGAGCGGGACCCGTCCTGGAGGCACTGCGGCCGGGGGGCACGGCGCCCCAGGCGAACCCAACGACCCCCCCGAGGCGGCCGAGGGAACCTTCTCCCAGCACGGGGGACAACAAGCGCCAGTCCAGGAGGCTGAAGGCGGGCCAACAAGCGTTGGCAGGACTGACCTTGGGCTCACTCCCGGTTTCGGCCTCGGGCAACCCGGAGGTCCGGACATCGACACAGAGGACTGGCGAGGCGGAGAAACTTGGGGGGGGAACTCTTTCCCCGGATCCATGGGCGCACCATGGCATGGAGATCTCGGATCGGCCCACCATCCTGCCGATCACGCACGACCCCAATCTCTCCGACAAGGTCATGTACCTTCAGATGGCCTTCAAACAGCGTCCCTTAAGGGACGGAGGTGGAAAGCCCTCATTGGGACGGTTGGCCCCTTGGACCCGGCCACTGTCCAAAGCAGCAGCGCTGGGGGCCAAGATCTGTGTCCTCACTTTGCCGTGGGGGGACAAGCTCCAGAACTCTCGGTTGGGAGATGGGTCACATCCCTTCCCGGAGGACCTGCTGGAGGACATCAGGGAGATTCTGGCGCCGGGACCCTTCTTCCTGGACATCTTGCACAGCGTGGCGCTGAACATTCAGGACCCCGACCACCAGTTTCCCCGGGATCTGGAGCAAGGCGTCCCACTGAAGGTCACGGACCCACCCCTGACCTCGCCGGGCATCTGGCCACTCAAGAAGGAGCTGAAAGGGGAGGAGCCGGAGTTCCAGGAACTCCCTCACCCAACGGGCAGGGGTAACTACCCCTCGGCGGATCACTTCAGCGAGCTCATCAGGGGCACATTTCTGGAGGAGGTCCCAATGGGCATGGTGGACTTCAGTAAGTCGGAGGCAGCGTCGCGCTGTGGCTGCGGAATCGAGGACCTTTGTCCCGGCCCCCTAGCGGGCATCGACGAGGGGGACAAGATCCGCACGATCTACGATGGCTCGGTGGGTGGGGCCAATGACACCATCAGGAACCAGACGGTGGAAAGGACGACGGCTCCGACGGTGCTGGATGGGGTCCAAGCTCTTCATTGGCTACATGCGGCAGCTGCGGAGGGCTCACTGGGGGAAGAATGGTGGGTGAACAAGGTAGGCACATATGGCATGGCCAGTGCCCAATCCTACTGGGGACGCCTGGCAGCCCTTCTGCTCAGGGTCCTCTACGCCCTTTTCCCTCAAGTGGATTGGAACTTTGTCTTTGTCGATGACTTCCTGTGGCTGCTTCGAAGCGAGGGGGCAGTAAACTTGGCGGTGGCGCTGTTGGCAACACTCCTGGCCTTGGGCACCCCGCTTAGCTGGAAGAAGACGCATTTGGCGGAGGTTAACACGTGGCTGGGTTTCGTGGTCCACCCGAACATCCCGCAGGTCCTCATGGCAGCCAACAAACACATCCTGGTTATGGAGGTTTTGCAGACCATGGTGGAAGGGCAGGCGATGCACTCAAAGGACATCGAGAAGGCCCTGGGTCGCATCCAATGGGCGACGGCTGCATGTCCGCTGGCGAAGTCGATGCTCCAGCCACTTTGGGCCTGGAAGATGGCCACCACCACGGTGGGGAAACCCCCCAAGGTGGTCAGGATGCTGGCGTTCATGCTGCGGTTCCTCTTCAACACGCCTTTCGTCCAGTACTCCCCTTACTTGCCGAAGTCCTCTTGGTGGGGTTGCAGCGATGCTAGCGCCTCGGACGACGGACTGGCATTTGTGGGAGGTTGGTGCTCCAACAAAGTGGAGCCGGACAAGAAGGAGGTGTACTGGTTCCACGAGCAGATCCACGTGGAGGAGTACCCTTGGGCCTTCAAGAATGGGGATCCAAAGCGGCGGATTGCAGCTCTGGAGATGCTGGGCACGCTCTTCCTCTGTAACATGATCCTCACGCACCAAGGCCCTCTGTCCTCCCGGGTCCGACTCCCGGTGGGCAGTGACAACCAGGGCAACGTCATGGCGATGCTCAACCTTGGATCCAAGAAGCCCTACACGGCGGCGATCCTGATGGAGCTGGTCTTCCTGCTCCACACCCATGGCTGCTCGCTGGCGGCCAACCACGTGCCCCGTGAATTCAATCAATGGGCTGATGAGCTGACGCACCCAGATTTCTCTGGGTTCGACCCTTTGCAAAGGGTCCCCAAGCAGGAACTCTGCGAGGAGTTTGTTTTTCTCCCGCGTCTCCTGAATGGAGATGCATTTGATCTCAGCGTGGGCCCACCCATGCTCCCGTGACCGGAGCCGGTGGGTGACTCACTTCCCCTGGTGGCAGACCCCCCTGTGGCCTGGGTGCCACGGGCCCCGGCTCAGGGGCGGGCGCTATCAGTCTGCACACCCGTTCTTCAGTTTTTGAGATTGTGAGTTGGGTGGCCCATGGGGCCCACCCAGCCTTTGTCATCTGACAGGGGAAGATGAGTCCCTGGCACCAACACACTGCTCGGATAAAAGAGTTATCGCGTGCCTGTGTGTGGTGCCGTTTGGTTAGCTTGCATACACAAACATTTGTTTTTAAAAGACGTGAGGCACATGGCAGGAGGCAACAGCACAAGTTCACTGGACCACATGGTCGTAGTTGTATCGTTATCAAGTGCACGTCTCTTGTCACTGACGCGTCGCTCCGAGGCAACAGTTCATCAACTCCTGGACCACACGAGGAGGTTGGACTGTGCGGCGTCGGGTTTGCTCACCGGTCCACGGGCTACGCGCGAATGACAAATGCTGCAACTTCTGGACGGTTCAAAGGAAACTCCCACAAGGACACCGACCTCACCTCATGGTGAACCATGTTGAGCATCATTTCGGCGCTTTTCCCCGGTTTTGCGTGCACAGTTGTCTAATCTTTGGTGCATTTTGCTTGGATGTTAGGACTTCAACTTTTTGCCACCTAGTGAGTTGTCCAGTAAACCACAAAAAGTTAAACTTTTCGCAGGGGAGCAGAAAGCAACCGAGAAATAACACCTTGCGATCACAAGGTGGACCAGGCCACGTTGGCTGCCGGGTTGGGTTTTCGTTTGTCGCCTTTTGGCGAGGTGCCTCACCGCGGAGTCTATGGCTGCGCGAGCTCGGGGTCTCAGGGGCGTTTCAGGCGGGCCCTCTGGTGGTCGCGGAGGCTGCCCCCGTTGGCAGCTCCCATAAGAGTGGTTTTTGTATTTATTGAATTGTACATTGTTCGCACTTATCGTCTTTAACCCCCAGTCGATTCATATGAGACCGACAACCCCAGCATCCGTGTTCAGGAATGGAGTCTCCTTTGGGGGAATCTGCACTGTTTTGGGCAAACCAACATGTTTTGTTCTGGATCCGGTCAAAATCTACAGCCATCGTTTTTTAGTTTGGAGGGACATTGGGGGCCTCACCTTAGCGGCGGAAGCGAAAGCTTCGATCCGAGGTGCTGCGCGCCATGGGCCTGTGGCCCACCTCGCGCCCGCTGCGGCTCCTGTGGCGACGCCCAGTCGGGTCGGGTGAGTCGCCCGAAACCGAAAAGTGGGGGTTCGCGCTGCAAGAGTTTTTTTTCTCTAGTCCGGCAATCACGGGGTGGCTGCTGTCGTCCCGGGGCAGGGGAGTTTCCATCTTTGAGATCGGTTGGCCGCGCACGTTGAGCTGTCATTTTGCGGACTGCCAAGAAAATTCGTGAATCTAGACAGAGAGTGACGTATTGAACCTTCTCCATTCCGGCCACTTGTGGAGCTTTGCTTGAATTGGGCAGCGTCCAGTTTGAATTCCTCCATGGTCCGCACCCATGAAACTTTCTCACGATTTCGGGAGAGCCCCAGCTGGAAAGTGCTCATGATTTGCTGCAGCCGATTTCATTTGTTCAGCCGAGCCTGTCGCAGCAAGGTACGTGACCTGCGGCTTTGGATTCACCGGCATAGGCAGGGCGCTCGTGGCGAGTCGCCTGCGTTCGGCGGCTTGAGTTGTGACTCGGCAGAGAGCTGTCAAGTGCTAGCCCGGCGTCTTGGCCGGGCAAAGCCGCAGTTGGTGCAAGATGCTGCATGTCTCAACTTGTGATCATGTGGTTTCGCGCAGGCGATGGTTGGCAAGGCCCGGTGAGCATTGGCGAAGATCTCAGAGTCTCATGCCATTCTCGGATCCTCTTGCGCACGCGTGCTCCCAATGTTCTTGTCAGAGTGGGGATGGATGCTCCCAAATGTGCGCGCTGCCGTCACTGAGCTTGTTCCGCCACTTGGTCAGGGTAGACTTTTGAGGGCCAGCCAGATGCTTGAGAGACCAAGCGCCTCGCACATGCGACGTGTTAGGCATCTTCCTGGGGCTGCATGCGCTGCTGCGCCACATCCCAGGCACGGCCAGGGGCGCCGGAGGGTTTCCTGAGTTGGCGTCGTATTTTGGGACGCCCCGGAGATTGGATCGCAGTGTGACGATCCTACAGCCATCCCGATTCGCAAGCACAGGTCCCCACCCCGGCGCCTTGTGAAGACGGGTTCGGCCACGCGAGACTTGCACAGGCTCCCGCATTGTGGATGCGCCCGCTTCTTGGAAGCAAGAAGCCGGCGCCGGAAGACGAAACCTTCTAAGCACGTCTAGAAAGTCGATCCTTCCAAGTCAGGGAGCACACTCATTTGGAGGGACTCTCAATTTCGATCCCAGCAAGACAGCACAATCAATCTGATCCCGCAGAAGAAACAGCAAAAAATAAAACCAGCCAAACAACAACCCAGATCCCATTTAGGATTGCCACCGGAAAAAAACAACAAAAAACAAAAAATACAAAACAAATAAGACAGAGAAGGTGGCAGTTTCAGCGATTTCGGCCTGAGGCCATGGATCCCAATCCAGAGGTTTGGCCTGAGACGGTGCCTAGGTGCCGCCCACAGACTTGAGGATTTAAGCCGCGGGTGGGGGTTCTCCCGGATTTTCAGCGGGGCATATTTTATTTTATTTTAGTTGTTATTTGTTTTCTTTCTAAATATTCTTTTTTTGGGGGGGGTCCCTTTCAAAATCAGCTAGTTGTGACACAAAGGGTGCCCTGGTCGTTCCTTATCCTGTTTGAGGGTACCTTTGTTGGGGTCTGATTTTACGCCTGAAACCAACTGGAAATCCCTGATTGGGAGTAATGCCGAAAGGGACGCCAAATTGAGCCAATCATTACTTCAGACAGTTTTAAATCAGGGCTTGACTTTGAGCCACAGCCTGGTGAACCTCCATGTTTTCCAGAGAGCAGCAGCTCTGAGCACCACATTTGTCATTGCCAGACTCCAAGGGTGTTGCAGATATTCCTTCGCCCTTTTGGGATTTTACCATTCCCCCAAGGGCCCAGGCAGATGATCACACTTAGCTCTGCGGGTATGGCCAAGAGCTTTCCATCATCCCATGCGAACAGCTCTGAGGTCCAACTTCTGGTACCTGGCCCGGGACAGCGATCCCTGGACCCTGCGTCCTTTTTCGTTGGCGGGAAACAGTGCTGTCTCGATTTGCCGTGCGGAACCCTTGGAGGAATGGCCTTCAGCATCCAAGTGGAGGTTGATCAAAAGGTCCTTTACATGGGATTATCATTGGGGGACACCAGCAAAAAGATGAGATTTCCCACTAAATGGGAAAATTACTCATGCTGATTTGGGGGCCAGGAACATTGATCAACCCCCAAGTTTACGGAAACCTGCAGATTCTCGCCGCCAGGATTAGTGAGGAGGACCTTCGGTACAGGCGCAGCAGTTGGGCCGCGGAAAGCTGTGTCAGGGCTGTGCTTTTTACATGTCTAAGAAAAAGAACGGGGACCCCCACTATGGTCGGGTGCCTTTCGGTTTCTTTCAAACCAAAAGGCGTGCGCATCCCCTCCAAACCCCGTCCAATAAAGACCCACTCTCCCTCGGGGTTCTGGGGCTTGATATGGAGGGCCCAGGCTTCTTTCACACGCACACGACCTTGGCCGAGCGAAGTGTCCCGCCAGCGCAGCCTGGAAGCCGCAACTCCGCCGAACTGCCGTAGGATGTATGGCTACGGCTTCTCCTATGCCAGGAGGTTGTCCGCGGAGGCGCGGCCCAACGGATGTTCCAGGATCAAACCTCCCCACCAAGTCCCAACAGGCAAGCAGCCACCTGCGTCGTCGCTGGGAACACGTGCACCGGACTTGCCCGGATCATAACTTGGTGGTTCCCAGCCATCCCCTCAACTTTTGTAGCCTTTTTTTCGCTTTTCGGCTTTTGAGCCTTTGAGCTTCTTTGGGTTTAGTGGTTGGGATTCCATTTAACGGGGAATCTGGGCTCCTAGATCAAGTTTGCTCGCTATGGGATCGCGAGGAGTTGGCGACACAAGGCGAACGAGATGGGGTGCCTGAGAGCTTGGCCAGCCGCGAGCTCACCGGAAATGGGGGGGAGAAACGTGGAAATGGGGATCCAATTCAAGGAATTATTCCAATTCCATTTTCCTTTTTCCAATTATGACAATATGTCCTTGATATCCAATTCTTAATTCAGCTTCTGGAATTATTGTACATTTTGCAGAACCTTGGAGTCAGCTTCCTGGTTGGAGGTTTGGGGCCCGGTGGTTTGGTGGTGAAACGGGGTGGCAAATCCCATTTACCCTCTACATGAGCCAGGGGCTCAAATCCAAATCCAAATCACCAATGAAACCAGCAACTAAGGGTTGCCTGATGGAAGTGTACAGGTGCCATTTCAATTCTTCTTGTGGAGAAGGGTTCCGCACACTTTCATCGAGGGTTCTGCACACTTTCATAGAGGGTAAGTCTGCGGCATGTTAATTGTGCGTTCATTGGAGTTTCCTGATATGAGGGGGACGGAGCCTGGACTTTTCCATGCCCCAAGCAGCATATGTAAAGCACGGCAGCACAGGAATTGATACAGGACTAACTTCGCGTAGATGCTTCTGCAGCTGGTTTCGCAAGAAGTTGAGAACTGCGGCTCAGAGCTACTTTCATTGTATGGTTGCGCACAGTTTGAGGATCCGAAGGAAGTGCGTTGGAGATGGTTCTAGATTTTGGGCTGTGTACGAGCTGGGGTGATGTGATGGTTTGAGTGATGGCACTTGGGCACTAGATTTGGTCTCCGAGGGCATCAGTTTGACGGCATCATCTACGGCAAGGCAAGCGCAGAGGTAAATGTGCTGCCATAAGAAGGGAATATTGGACGGCAGTCCAAGTAGGCTTGTGTGAGAGCTGTCACTCCAGTGCGTGACCCTTGTTGTTTCAGGCACTGTGCGTTGCAATTCGGTTCCATGCCAGAAGGAGGAGAGGAGCTTTGCACACCGCTCTTGGTGGCATGTTTCATGTGCAGGTCGGTCCAGGACAGGCCTGCGACCCTTTGCCCTTCTTCGATGATGTGATTTCGGCTGGATATCCATTTGAGGCTCGGGGGGCTGTTGCCTTTCAGAACGTTGCCGTTTTTGGGCTTTGTCTCAAGCAAGAGGACCTTTTGCCTCCCCCCCCCTCCAAAGGTGAACCCCTCCCCAAAAGTAGCTCAACAATGATACCCATTTACTCTTTGCGTGCAGATGGTCCACTAGCAGATTGGACCAGGGGTCTTCGCCTTGAGAAAGTTTTCTGTGGCAGTGTGCAGGGGTTGTCAAAATGGTGGCTTCTTTTGCAAACTGGGACTTTCGAGATTCATAAGCGCGTAGATGGTCATGGTTTGCTAGAATGTCTTCCTCACTCATCCATTTCTCTGTGTTCGTGTATCATGGAAAGAGAAATGACTCTACGCATCTCTATGAATGATGCTCATCAAACACCCGAAAGGCAACCACTGATGACCATCCGGTTGAGCCCCATGCAAGCTTCCATGCCCATGGCACTGGGGGTAGACAACGCCAAAACCCTTTTCGCTTGTTTTAGCGCGTGGCACCAGCAGCTCAATCAGGCAACTGGACGGTCGGCTTACGATCAAGTTGGGAAGGGCATTAGCAACCCCTCGCAAGTGGTTGTTTCACCTTTGGTTTTCCTTCCCACAGGTTTCGTTTTTTCTTATTTTTTTTCCTTCTCACAGGGTTCCTTTCCATTTTTTCCATGGCTTTGAGCATCCGCCAATTCGAAGTGAACTACCCTCCCTCCAACTAACATGGCGCCTGTGGGAGGGTACATGGAAGATCAGCCTCCTCTTGGAGGGACCCCCTTTCAGGTGCCATGTTAGTGGGAGAGAGGGTACCCATTTGAGTTTCCGCCACGCCTTCCCGCCCAGCGAGTGGCCCTCATCTACGGCGGCGACTTCGGCCTGGAGACAAAGCAGCGGGGGTGCCCAGCTGCCCGTGCCTTCCATTGAGGGTGAATTCGCTTCTTCCGCCCATCGTTTCCCTTTTTTCCCCCTCCGTGTTTGGGTTTGTTTTGCCTTTCCAAACACAAACCGCTGTTGCTGATGCCTTTCCAATTCGAACGGTTTCTTTTGCTCTCTTTTTTGTTCCCTCGCTGTTTCTGGTGTTCGCGCGTGGTTTTGTTTGTTCAGGGTGGCGCAGCACGCGCGCATCTTCTCGGGCCACGGCCTCCTTTTCTTCCGGGAGATGATGGCGCCGCCGGCGGCCTTCCGGTGGGTCCCGGCGCGGGTCCTCCCGCGCGCCTGTGGCTCGGCTCGGGATGGGCGGATGGCAGTTTGCGGCGGGGGGAGGGGGGGGGTTGGAAGGTTTGGTGGAGTTGAGTGGGTTTGGTGGGGGTCAGGGGGTTGGATATGTTGGATGCTTGGGCGCGTTGCGGGATTGATTTTGTTGGAGTGGGATTGATTTTGCTGGAGTCTTGAGATTACATGATATGTGGTGACCTTGGGTGTGTTTGCAGGTGCGACATATTTTTAGTGAGTTCTCCAGCGGGCATATGCCACCCAGCTCGCCAAATGCTGGCTGCGTCTCAGGTGCTGAGTTGGGCCAGTAGTCCTTAGCCCTAGGTTGCTCCAAGCCTCGCAAAATTTGCCAAATCGCAAGGATCGAGATTTGGTGTGGGTTCCTAAACTTCCCCTTTGCAAAAAAGCCAAGGGTCTCTCCTTGCCTCAGTTTGTCCCCCTGGCTTACTGAGAGAAAGGCAAGGTCTTTTACAGTCAAACCCAACAGAACAACAATTTCCAAGGGTCACCATTTGTTTGGAACAACACCCCCCCTGCTCTGTGCCAACAAACGAGTTGTGCTTCCCCACCAAAATTTGGAGCACCTCCTATTAATCACCAGATTTCATTTTTTAGTTGATCAATCCATCCGTTACAGAACAAGAACTTTAAAGTTTCACCATTGCAAAGGCCAAGTGTCTACTTGCGCTGATGGGGTCTTCCCTTTGGACAAAACTCCTCTAAGAGCTCTTCGCCTCTTGGCCAGGCAGCAATTTGTCAACAACTCTTTGCCAGCCACCCTGGCTTCCTTTCATTTCCCCCACACAAGCCACTCTTCCTACTTGTGCCACTTCCATGGGCCATTTTCCGGTCGGAGCTTAACTCATGCCCCTTTTCCAGCCGCAACCAAACAATTCGAGGCGCACATGCGCGCCTGGAAGGGAAACAACGGAGAAAAAACAAAAAAAACGCGCCGAGGCTACGCGGACGTTCGCTGGAAGCAGTTCTTCCAGCTCTGGCGCCAGCGACTCGCCTGCTGGGCCTGCCGCGACGTGGACCTCGCGGTTTTGCAGCTCTGGGTGTCTCGGCTTGGGAAGCCGCCGTTTGCGGGTTGGTTTCAGGGAGGCCGAAAGGAACAGCCGCATTTTTTTTTGCCCCCACACCAGTTTTTCCACATACCCTTCTGGGATTCGGCCTAAAACCATCGGTTCCGCTGTGGTTTCGCGAGCTACCAACCAAAAGGGGGTCCACCATTTTGAGAACCTCATATTTTCTGCTGGGTAGTTTTGAAGATCACCTTTGTGGCCAATTGCAGGTTAGTTCCGCTGGTGAAGTTTCAAGGGGGGCAGCTATAAGGGAACCCTGCGAAGTTCCACCAGCAAAATAGGTTGGGTGACGTTCAGTAAACCCATGTTCATCCAGCTGTAGCAGATTGTGACCCTGGAACGCTCCAAAACAAGGAACCTTTCAAGTAGTGAAATACCGTCGGCTGTGGGCTAAACCACCTTGGGCTTGCAACGTTTCACTGCGGGGCTGTTTTCCTTATACTTTGCCCTTCCCAAAATGCATAGCCCAGGTTCCCTGATTTTTGTGCCGTGCTCCTCGCCTGTGCAAGGAGCCGCTGCGAGCCCTTTCGGAAGGAGTCCACTGGGCAGGCAGTTTGGGTTCGAACTCTTCGCGACTTCTAAGCGCATAAGCCCGCGAGGACATGGGAGGTCGCAAGCCTAGGAAGTCGGATTTCTTTCTGGACACCGGGATATTGTGCTGCCAGTTGTGCAGACGTGTATAGCATGCGGGTGATTTTGCTTTCGCGTTCTACCTAAGCAACACAAGAGGCGAGTCCTTGTCACCGCGGGAGGCGCTCATCTGCCGCCCTGCTGGAGCGGTTTGGTGCTGCTCGCAGTGCCCGTGCTGGCAGACGCGCCGCTTTGCCGGCGCTTGGCGCGGGGCATAGGTGGGTGACGAACCGAAAGTCGCTCCTACGTGGCTGGTTTCCTTGGTCATCGGTCCTGGGATTTTTTGATCGCACATGTCTCAAACTAGACAATTTTTCGGGACTCTTTTGGGTATGGGAGATAAAAGGACTGGGGGCTAGAAAGATCTTTGAATAGTCTTCCTCACACGTTGGTTTTCTGGGGCTCCTTTGAATGTTTGTTTAACGAGACCCCAGCCTTCGGACAAGACACGAAGGAGCCGTTGACAGGCCAACCTGCAAACGGGTTCCGGCTGGCATGGTTGCCAAGCACTCACGAAGATGCTCTCGGCCAAACATCCACACCTGGCAGGGAGGGCTAGCGTCAGGTTTGCCATGCTTGCAGAGCACCTGTGTTTGTCTCACTTGCAGCTTTCCTCTGGCGACGTCAACTTCCTGAAACCGACTGGACCCTCACTGATCTTCCTCGCTTGCAAGCCGTGAGCGCTGAGGATGCAGGCGGCATCGCTGGAGACGAGAGACCTGCGCTGCAGATTCTTCCGCTTGCAGCTGCGAAAGGCGAGGCCAGTGGAAGTGATGATCGGGAAGATGCGACTTTGGGTCCAGACTACCGTAATGAAACTGACGCCTGAGCGGCCATTGAGAAGGAGGTTTCTGGGGTAGCATCGGGCCGTGTTCACCCAGTGGAAGCTTGGTTCTTCTAGATCGGTTTCGGTTTGCTTGTTTCAACCTTGCCCCTTGGGGAGGGTTGCGCTTAGAAGCCCAGAGAAAGCCCCGCCGTGTCGGGAATCGATGTCCCGTCAACCTCCCAGGCCTCCAAACGCCTGTCCTTTGCGCCAAGAAGGGGGCGCTGGCGCCTGCGTGTAGGCGCGCACCGGTTTGGAAGGGTAGGAGATATGTCGAAAACACGAGGGTTGCAACCATGAGGCTTTTGAGTGTACCCTTTTGCGAGGTGGAATTTTGGAATGGGTTTCACCACCACATGACTTTGGACTTTATTTTCCCCAATTTGTTTCTCAAGCCCAAGGTGTCCGGCCAATTGATCCTCATACCCGCGGGTATTCCCATGGGACCCGACTCGCGCCTTCCTCGACTCGGCTCCAGGCGCCGGGGCCTTCCGCGAAGCCTTTGGAGTGGCGCCCTGGGAGGTGGCGGCCTTGGTCGCCTCCGCCTGCGGAGGCGCGCCGGGACTTGGCGAAGGTGGGCGTCCCTCCCCCAAAGGGCCGGCTGCCCCCTGCAAAAGTTGCCTTCCCTCGGGTGTTGCGAAATCCCCAGGGGGTGCGGAACGGAACAGGCCTCAAGGAAAGTCTCACCTGATGGGGAAGAGCCGGGGAGGGAAGGGAGAGATGAAGGAAGCCCTTTTCAAAAGGTAGAATCTCATTTCAACAACCCAACAGGGTACCTGCGCCGGGAGGATTCCTATCCTAATATATCCCACGCCACTCAGACGAGGGATACGTAATGAGAATGCAGGCCTTGCTTGGGTAAAGACAAGGCGAGGGCGGATGCAAAGCCTGTGAACGATTCTTGTGCATCCTTCGGACTGGGCAACATTCTGGGAAAGTCCCAAACAAGATCATTCGGAGGTTTTTTGAGGGTGCCAGGGTGCCACGTTAATCTGAAGAGAGTGTCACAGCTTTCGGCTTGCTCCAGGAGCTAACGGCGGCCTGTTCGACGCGCGCTTCACCGGAGATGGCCGAGCGCTGCGGAAGCTGAGAGTGAAGGGAAAAGACAGCGAGGGCGAGCTGGGATCTTCTCGGAGGGGATGCCCTGAACGAACTCAAGCGGCGCTTTCCCTCAGGCCGTTGAAACTGAAATGGGTGTGGCTCAAAATTAAACAAGGGTTACGCTGGCTTTGGTCCATTTTCCACTTACCAGGGTTCCATTTTGGGTACCGTTTTAGCCACATTTGAATCTTTATGGCTGCAAGAAGTCCCGAGCAGCTGAACTGTGTCGATGCAAAAACCACCCACAATGACTTGTCAATAAGTATTGCTTCAGATTGGGTTGGTGTCAAGCATGAAGATTCGATTGTCAATACTGAGCGCGCCTCTGATTTGGTGTCAACATGAATCGTCATCCATGAGACACGGTTGTTTTCAATGGCAAGATCAAGGATTGTCCAGTATGTTTTGTTGTGTGTGTTTTTGGTTTACTTGACACATCCGCAGTAGAAAGAGATGCTACCTGCAAGGATTCCAGGTCAGATGAACCCTGACTACTCCCCATTGCCCCCTCTTCCCCCCGTGGTGCAACTGACAGTGGGTGCAGAGAGCCCAGTTCAGGATTTGGTATACATAGAAGCCAAGAGGAACACCGCCATTCTTTGAGTCCACCTGCATTGACACAAACCACGTAGGTAAAAAGGTTCAGCGTTTGGATTGCTTCGCTCGTGGGCTTGCCCAGCTTGACATGAGCCGTCGTTGGCCTTCAGAATCTCAAAGATACCTGAATATGTGCGTGAGACTGGCGCCTCCTGTGGCATGGGGTGTGTTCGTCGTGTCACAGGCGAGGAGGTGATGACCAGGGAAGAGTTTGCCAAGTGGTGGAATGAGCAACATGAGCTACGAGACGGAAATATGCCATTTGTGGATGCACTGAGGCGCCACTTGGCCGTTCAGCTGCAGATACCGAATTTCCGCCGCCTGGCGCTGGTACGTGGCGAGGATGTGCTGAGACCAGAGGACCCATGGCAAATTGCGGATCTCGTGGTGGTCGTGCGGCAATACAGCACAGCATCCGATGATGTAACCATATTTGTGACTGGAGTTGCCTTCGGCGATGCAGAGAGACTCTTGGCAAGTTTGGAGCGACCCGTAGACCCGGAAAGAACAATTGCAGGTGTTATCTTGCCGCTGTATGCAGCCGCGGATCGGGGTCATCAGGACGTTGTGCGTATTTTGTTGGAGGCTGGCGTTGACAAGAACCGGACCAACAGCTCAGGAGACTCGCCCATGCACGTTGAGCCAGAAGTGGTCACTTGCAAACGGTGCGTTGTTTGCTGGTGGCGCGCGCCGACATTGGACAGTCCAATGATGACGGGCGTATTCCTATACATGTAGCTGCTTCTTATGCCCGGCTTGAGGTTGTGCGTTGCTTGCTGGAAGCCGGTTCTGACGCCGACCGGGCAGACAACCATGGAAACACATGCATGCATTTCGCCGCGAAATACGATTGCGAGACAATGTTACGCTGCTTGTTGCAGGCTGGGGCTGACACGGACAAGGCGAATCACCTTGGGCGCACCGTCACGCATGATGCTGCGTGGCACTGCCGTGCAGGTTTTGCGCGCTGCTTGCTGCAAGCCGGCGCTGACATGAACAAGGCGGATGCTGAAGGCCGTATGCCCACGCATTTGGCCGCACAACGTGGTCATCTAAAAGTTGCGCGTGCCTTATTGGATCAAGGTGCTGAGAACGACGAAGCTGACAATGAAGGATGCACGCCCATGCACTTTGCTGCTGGGAACGGGAACCAGCGAGTGGTGCGCTGCCTGCTTGAAGCTGGTGCTGACAAGAACAAAGTGAACAAGGAAGGGTGCTCGCCCATGCAGGTCGCGGCCCGCTTTGGTCACCGGCACGTTGTCTTCTTGTTGCAAGCTGGAGCTGAGGCCAGTGTTAGGCCCAGGTTTTGGCAAAGGGCCGCGCTTTCAGCTCAACGGCGGCGGGCAAAAAGTTCTTGAGGCAGGCAAGGGGAAGTTGTCAAGCTCATCTCAGACGAGTGGCGTTGCTTTTTTGCGCTCAAGCAAACATGTGTAGATGTTGACATATCAACAAAAAAAGAGAGCGCCGCGCTGCAGCCGCGGAAGGTTCGCGGAAGGTTTGCGGAAAGGTTTGGGTGGTTTGTTGCCAAGCACGTTTACTAGCAAACCATGCACACGAATTCCCTCGCGGAAGCTACCTTCGTCAGCTTCCAGAAGCAACTTGCCTGCGGAAGGCCCGCGGAATATACAAACTGATATAGAAGCATGCTCGCGGAAGGTACCCTTCACCACCGCGGAAGCTTTGCGGAAGGGCTTGAGAAGTCAATGCAAATTTAAAGGGAAACACTACTCCGCTCAGATGCGTCTGCTACAATCGTTGTTTGTTGATTCATCGTAGTCCCAAACGCCATCAGAATTTGGCTGCCATCGTTTGCCACACAAGCATCAATACAGAAGGGCGGGCTTCCGGGCTTTTTCCAGGTTCAGCGCTGGCCGGACTGGCTCAAAGGGGGTAGGGCCTGCCTAGTGATGAGGCTGGATGAGGCTGGTCGCCAGTTGAGTGGCCCCTTCCCATTCCTTGACGGGAACCCAGGACCCAGTATCAATAAACGCCAGGTGATCAATAGTGGGGCGTCAACCAATTGGAGGGCCCCTCTCCTCTGATAATGTGCCACGTTGATTTCTCCGCGGTCAACATGGAGAACCAAGGGCTATCCGTCAATGGTGAATTTGTTGCCCAATTTCAAGAAGCCGCCCAGGTTTCAACACTCTGCTTTCTGGCCCGCCTTCTGGCAAGTCCAATTGAGTGTGGGGATTTCCGAATTGGCTTCCGGGGCGATTGAAGTCTGTGTCACAATGCAGGGGAGCCCCTTCAAGCGATTGTTTGCCTAGCCCTGAAAACCAAAGCAGCCCTTTTGGCACTGCGTTGCTGATCCGAATTTTTCAACTGGCGCATTGTCCCTGGTGAGCCCACCTGCAGGACAGCAACTCGCTGTTCGCAGAAAAAAAACAAGACGTATCTTGCGCGATCCAAAGTGCAAAAAAACTCTATGCTCTTCCCCAAAGCGCAACACCTCAAAACTTCGAACATATTCTTGCACTTGGAACATTCGAAACCATCTTCGAAGCTTCGAAAATCGCTCAGTTTGATCACTAGGTGCTGAGGTCCTTGTAGTAAAGAATGTTAAAGATAGAATTATTAGAGCATATTTAAGTGAAGAATGTCGTATTGTAAGTAGAATAGGAAGAGTTAATAAAGTTAAAAGAATAATAAAGGTAAACATCTTAAAACAAATGTTCAAAACGGAGTGTTACTAAAAATGAAAGACAAAAAGCGTTCAATAAATATATGAATAACTTTAATGATATTGATTTGATTCAATTAAAGCATGTTACGCCATTGGATACTTCATTGATTAAAAATAGGTTTGTTTATGTGTGTATATGTGTGATTATAGGGCGCTTCCCTGCTGGTCCCAAGCGCCGTGTCGCCTAGGCCGCGCCCCGCGTCAGGCCTGGCGGCAGCGAGGTTTCCCCAAGTTATGTTTTGGGGGTGTCGTGGCTGGGTGCCGTTGAAGCAAATTGGCAAGCCCAAGGAATCTAGCATGTCAAAGGCGAGTCACAAGCAGGTGCGCATAAAGGGGGTTGCGTGTCCCTTTGTGCTCCAGCTGACTGTTACGAAGCTTTTACTGAAGATGGGCTACAAAGAAAGGGCTTTTAACTAGGTGTAGGAGACAACATATACTTTTTGATGCTTCATTGTTGGGCCTCCCGTGATTGTTGCCGGGATTACCTCTTCTGCCGTCTGTGGCTAAGTGAGAGGACGAGCTTTGAACTCACCGGCAGTCCTGCGAAAGATAACCACCTTGAAAAGATGCACGGGAGAAGTGTGAGCGAGCAGTGCTGCAGTGATGAGTAACTTGAGGCCCGAGCTGGATGAGGGCGTATCTCGACTGGAAAGCTGATATGTCTGAGGGCGCTGAATTAAGCTTGAAGGCTTTGTCAGTGTGACGAGGTCGCTTGACATGAGGGTGCAGCAGTCGGCTTCGAGAAGTTTTGGCTGTTGAAGGAATGAAGACACGTCGATGGTTGGGCGCCGGCAGTAGTGTGGCCGAGATGAAGATGCTGGATGAGAACGGTGTGGATGGTGATTGGTTGGGCAGCTTTGCAAGCTTGCGAGGGGCGGTCAAGTCAAGAGAGAAGTGTGAGCGAGCAGTGCTGCAGTGATGAGTGAATTGAGGCCCGAGCTGGATGAGGGCGTATCTGGACTGGAAAGCTGATAGGTCTGAGGGCGCTGAATTGAGCTTGAAGGCTTTGTCAGAGTTTTGGCTGTTGAAGGAATGAAGACACGTCGATGGTTGGGCAGCGGCAGTAGTGTGGCCGAGATGAAGATGCTGGATGAGAACGGTGTGGATGGTGATTGGTTGGGCAGCTTTGCAAGCTTGCGAGGGGCAGTCAAGTCAAAAGAGAAGTGTGAGCGAGCAGTGTGCAGCGTATTTCGACTGGATAGCTGATAGGTCTGAGGGCGCTGAATTAAGCTTGAAGGCTTTGTCAGTGTGACGAGGTCGCTTGACATGAGGGTGCAGCAGTCGGCTTCGAGAAGTTTTGGCTGTTGAAGGAATGAAGACACGTCGATGACGGTGTGGATGGTGATTGGTTGGGCAGCTTTGCAAGCTTGCGAGGGGCGGTCAAGTCAAGAGAGAAGTGTGAGCGAGCAGTGCTGCAGCGTATCTCGACTGGAAAGCTGATAGGTCTGAGGGCGCTGAATTAAGTTAAGCTTGAAGGCTTTGTCAGTGTGACGAGGTCGCTTGACATGAGGGTGCAGCAGTCGGCTTCGAGAAGTTTTGGCTGTTGAAGGAATGAAGACACGTCGATGGTTGGGCAGCGGCAGTAGTCTGGCCGAGATGAAGATGCTGGATGAGAACGGTGTGGATGGTGATTAGTTGGGCAGCTTTGCAAGCTTGCGAGGGGCGTTCAAGTCAAGAGAGAAGTGTGAGCGTGCAGTGCTGCAGCGTATCTCGACTGGAAAGCTGATAGGCCTGAGGGCGCTGAATTAAGCTTGAAGGCTTTGTCAGTCTGACGAGGTCGCTTGACATGAGGGTGCAGCAGTCGGCTTCGAGAAGTTTTGGCTGTTGAAGGAATGAAGACACGTCGATGGTTGGGCAGCGGCAGTAGTGTGGCCGAGATGAAGACGCTGGATGAGAACGGTGTGGATGGTGATTGGTTGGGCAGCTTTGCAAGCTTGCGAGGGGCGGTCAAGTGAAGAGAGAAGTGTGAGCGAGCAGTGCTGCAGCGTATCTCGACTGGAAAGCTGATAGGTCTGAGGGCGCTGAATTAAGTAAGCTTGAAGGCTTTGTCAGTCGCTTGACATGAGGGTGCAGCAGTCGGCTTCGAGAAGTTTTGGCTGTTGAAGGAATGAAGACACGTCGATGGTTGGGCAGCGGCAGTAGTGTGGCCGAGATGAAGACGCGAGATGAAGATGCTGGATGAGAACGGTGTGGATGGTGATTGGTTGGGCAAGGGGCGGTCAAGTCAAGAGAGAAGTGTGAGCGAGCAGTGCTGCAGCGTATCTCGACTGGAAAGCTGATAGGTCTGAGGGCGCTGAATTAAGTTTGAAGGCTTTGTCAGTGTGACGAGCAGTCGGCTTCGAGAAGTTTTGGCTGTTGAAGGAATGAAGACACGTCGATGTTTGGGCAGCGGCAGTAGTGTGGCCGAGATGAAGATGCTGGATGAGAACGGTGTGGATGGTGATTGGTTGGGCAGCTTTGCAAGCTTGTGAGGGGCGGTCAAGTCAAGAGAGAAGTGTGAGCGAGCAGTGCTGCAGCGTATCTCGACTGGAAAGCTGATAGGTCTGAGGGCGCTGAATTAAGTTAAGCTTGAAGGCTTTGTCAGTGTGACGAGGTCGCTTGACATGAGGGTGCAGCAGTCGGCTTCGAGAAGTTTTGGCTGTTGAAGGAATGAAGACACGTCGATGCTTGGGCGGCGGCAGTAGTGTGGCCGAGATGAAGATGCTGGATGAGAACGGTGTGGATGGTGATTGGTTGGGCAGCTTTGCAAGCTTGCGAGGGGCGGTCAAGTCAAGAGAGAAGTGTGAGCGAGCAGTGCTGCAGTGATGAGTGAATTGAGGCCCGAGCTGGATGAGGGCGTATCTGGACTGGAAAGCTGATAGGTCTGAGGGCGCTGAATTGAGCTTGAAGGCTTTGTCAGAGTTTTGGCTGTTGAAGGAATGAAGACACGTCGATGGTTGGGCAGCGGCAGTAGTGTGGCCGAGATGAAGATGCTGGATGAGAACGGTGTGGATGGTGATTGGTTGGGCAGCTTTGCAAGCTTGCGAGGGGCAGTCAAGTCAAAAGAGAAGTGTGAGCGAGCAGTGGTGCAGCGTATTTCGACTGGATAGCTGATAGGTCTGAGGGCGCTGAATTAAGCTTGAAGGCTTTGTCAGTGTGACGAGGTCGCTTGACATGAGGGTGCAGCAGTCGGCTTCGAGAAGTTTTGGCTCTTGAAGGAATGAAGACACGTCGATGACGGTGTGGATGGTGATTGGTTGGGCAGCTTTGCAAGCTTGCGAGGGGCGGTCAAGTCAAGAGAGAAGTGTGAGCGAGCAGTGCTGCAGCGTATCTCGACTGGAAAGCTGATAGGTCTGAGGGCGCTGAATTAAGTTAAGCTTGAAGGCTTTGTCAGTGTGACGAGCAGTCGGCTTCGAGAAGTTTTGGCTGTTGAAGGAATGAAGACACAGTAGTGTCGAGATGAGATGCTGGTGAGAATGGTGATTGGTTGGGCAGCTTTGCAAGCTTGCGAGGGGCGGTCAAGTCAAGAGAGAAGTGTGAGCGAGCAGTGCTGCAGCGTATCTCGACTGGAAAGCTGATAGGTCTGAGGGCGCTGAATTAAATTATGCTTGAAGGCTTTGTCAGTGTGACGAGGTCGCTTGACATGAGGGTGCAGCAGTCGGCTTCGAGAAGTTTTGGCTGTTGAAGGAATGAAGACACGTCGGTGGTTGGGCAGCGGCAGTAGTGTGGCCGAGATGAAGATGCTGGATGAGAACGGTGTGGATGGTGATTAGTTGGGCAGCTTTGCAAGCTTGCGAGGGGCGGTCAAGTCAAGAGAGAAGTGTGAGCGTGCAGTGCTGCAGCGTATCTCGACTGGAAAGCTGATAGGCCTGAGGGCGCTGAATTAAGCTTGAAGGCTTTGTCAGTGTG